CTTTAGATGGATTTTTTTACCTGAGAAGGTAATATGTGTCCTGCTCTGAACACTATTGAGTACTATTTTTCAAAAGATGTAACATAAAGTAGTCCCAACTTTATATTGATTAGAATTTTCCAACACCATATTCTATTCTTTAATTTCAACATAAAGACATTTTATATATCTCAATATATTGCTCAAATGTAGATCTTTTATTTTTGGTCCTAAAAAGATCTTAAGAAAATCATTTAATTGATGTAATAAAATTACTGATGTGTTTAGGTTAAGCCGACTTTATTTTTCTTATGTTTTTGTCTTGCTTTTCCTGTCTATTGTTCTCTCTCCTTCATTGATTTCCATTATACTTTTTCCTCTTCTTTTTGTCCTCAATAGTTTAGAAGTTAAAAATATGACCAATATATTTTATGTCAAAAATCCTCCTGATGAAGGTGAGACTTAATATAACAGGAATATTTATTTTGAGCCATAGCACAGCATAGCACAGCGTTTGCCTTGCATGAGACCAACCAGGCCAACCCGAGTTCAATTCCTCCACCTTCGATTCCTCTGCCCATCTCAGAAAGCCTGGCAAGCTACCACATGGCAAAACCTGGCAAGTCAAACACAGTAACAACAAGTCTCACAATGTTACTGGGCCCATTCGAGCAAATTGATGAACAAGGGGAGGACACTGACAGTGACAGTGACTAAATTCAGCAATATTTTAATACTCTTTCTGACCAATACAGTACCTTAAGAAACTCTCATTGCTAGGTTCGCATCTCCAGAAGAAAAGACTGCAGTTTTAGTTCATTCATTTTTCTTAAACTTACATGGTATCATTGTCATCATTTACAGTTAGGTTTTATTTAGCATTCCTTCATTTTATACAGTTTACTCCTCTATTCCTCTTGAATCTCAGATATAATATTTGAGGTCAATATCCTCTACTTGATACTTATCTTTTACAGTTTTATTCTTAAATATCTATTGGTAGAAAACTCTTAGTGTCCTTTCTCTTTTTAAAGGATAAAATAATATGTGTCTAAGAATCAACAAAATCTCAGATAGTTAATTACATACAGTTGTTAAAGCAGATAGGGTGGGGCTGGAGCAATAGCACAGTGGGTAGGGCGTTTCCCTTGCAGAAGCCGACCCGGGTTCCATTCCCAGCATTCCATATGGTCCCCTGAGCACCACGAGAAGTAATCCTTGAGTGCACGAGCCAGGAGAAGCCCCTGTGCAATGCCAGGTGTGACCCAAAAAGAAAAACAAACAAAGCAGATAGAGTATTTGAGAAAGAACAGGAGACAGAAAGAACAATATGAAAGTAAAAAAATCTGGAGAGGCTTTATCTCAGTCAATTACATAGTTGTAAAAGCAGGGTATTTGAGAAGGAACAGGAGGAAAGAAGAGATACAAAAGTCATAAAATCTGGTGGCCTTATCTCAACGTTCACCTGTTATTCTGGTTTTCTTCTCAATAATGTTTTTATTCTCTAAAGTTTCACAGTTTCAATGATAATCTGGTCTTCGGACCAATGATAACACTGAAAGAAGTCCCCAATAATGCGTAGTGCCCCTGGCTGCTGGAGTCAGGCTTTCATTTGCATTCAATTTGAATAGCTAGGAACTTAACTTGAATAGCTAGGAACTTTCACGTTCAGTGAATTAGAAAAACTTATAGGAGTCCATTTGTTACCACTGAGAATAAACACAAAGGAGAGATAAAGTGCCAGGAAGAAAAAGTTTGGAGATAGGAGAAAATTGCTGAAGAATTTATGATGGAAGCCAAGAATCTGAGGAAAGATGAGCTCACAGTTATAGCTGTTCTCCTCCTGAGATATTTCCCAATTTTGTGTGAGCAAAAAATCTGGATTTTGTCTAGGCACAAAGCCAGTGCTGGGAGTCAGAACCTTTGGTAGTCTAATGGAGTTGAAGAGAAAAATTAAATGTTTGAAGGGCCAAAAGTTTAGAGAAAAGAAAAAAAAAGATTGAATTTGACCTACCAAAAATTCCCCACTCCCACTTCTACCCCCACCCCCATCCCAAACGTCTTCCAATTTTAGCAGTGGAATGAGGCAGAGATTGCCTCTTTGCTATTTTAAAATCAGAAAGGGGCCCAGGGCTATGGCTCAGCGGCAAGAGTTTGCCTTGAGGACACAAGGCCACAAGTTTGAGTTTGATCTTTAGCAGCATTCCACATGCTTGGTGTGATCCTGGCAGCACTGCTATTGAGATATGAGTGACACAAGTGTGTTGTCTTTGGAAAGCACCACAATTAAAACGTGGGTGAGCACGAAAACGAAGTGTGCCACTCCTGGAATGGGCCATGAGTGTGTGTTGCCCCTGGCCTTTGTTTGTACCTACAATAGCAGGAAGGGAGAGAGAGGAATCATAAAGTCTCTTAGGAGAGCTGAAATTTTGGAAGCATTTTTGTTTTCTCACTCTTAATCTAGCAAGGAAATGAGAGGTATAATTAAGGGAACTATAACTGTCATGGGAAATTTGACTAATATTTAATAGCAAAGAATCATGAAAATAAAGTGAAACATGGGGGGGGACAAAATAGAGATATAAAGCAAAATATTAGAAATAAATCCAAATATATCAGTAATTATATGAAAATAGACTATATGTTTCAGTTCAAGGACACATGTCAGTTAAGCTATAATGGTTATAGAGATACTTTAAAAAATGGTGGTGGAAAATGGGCACTGGTGGAGGGATGGGTAGCAAATTGAAACCAAAGCACAAAAAATTGTAAATCTACAACTTTAAAAAAATAAAATAAAATAAAGGGAAAAAAATGAATAGAAAGGGTAATAATAGTGACGTGACTAATACATCATTAATACATCATTATTCACACTATTATTTTCTTCTAATCTCAGTATTTACAGTCATCTCCAGGAAACAGAGTGCTGACATTCCCTTGGTTTTTTGTTTCTGGCGCTCTTTTCTTCCCACTTATAACACACAGCTCAACTTCCCATTAGCACTGGTCATCTTGGTTCCCTGCCAGCATGTCTGTCTTCTTTCTTGACTGTCCCAAGAGTGGAAAGCACCACAATTAAAATGTGTGTGAACACTAAAACTAAATGTGCAACTCTTAGTTTTATTTTTGCTTTATTCCTCACAAACATCTAACTCCTTAAACTGTGGGCCACCACCTCATCTGGAGAACTGAATGTGGGGGCTGAAAAAAAATGTGTCACAAGTTTAAAGCGTTTCTAAATGTGCAAGGACAAAAAATAAATTCAAAAGCAACTACTTGTCAACCTGAGGTCACGAGTGGGAAAAGTTGGAAAAGTCCAATTGTAGCAGACAACTGTCATTTGCTCAGATTTGGGGGATGAAGAAAGGTATTGCTGCACAAACTAGAAACAGCTGGATAACAGAGAACAGGTCTCAGTTCTCCTCAGAGTTTCTGGGCCTTTTTTCTCATGGGAGAACTTTATCTCTACCTTTCCCAAAGTGCAGTCAGGCATCGATTACCACCTCAAGATTCCATTCTCCTCTATTTTAGAATCCTAACATGCTATCCCTCAGTTCATCAAGGTCAGTTAAAGTTCCTGTTATTTAATTTCAAAATATATTTTCTGTCTCTTTCTAGACTCTTCCAAACTCGGTGATTGGGTAGCACTGTAGCACTGTCCTCCCGTTGTTCATCGATTTGCACCAGTAACGTCTCCATTGTGAGACTTGTTGTTACTGTGTTTGGCATATCAAATACGCCACGGGGAGCTTGCCATGCTCTGCTCTGTGGGCAGGATACCATCAGTAGCTTGCTGGGCTTTCCGAGAGAGGTGGAGGAATTGAACCCTGGTCGGTGGACCATGTGCAAGGCAAATGCCCTACCCGCTGTGCTATCGCTCCAGCCCAATGATTGGGTAGACATAGTATTTAGTAGGCCTGTGTGTATCTTAACAGTCTAATCACAATATCTCACTACAAACAAAAACAAACTTCAAGTTTCCTTCAAATGAATGACCTTAAGATGAAGAGAGTCATGGGGCTGGAGAAATAGCACAGCGGGTAGGGCGTTTGCCTTCCATTGGGCCAACCCAGGTTCGATTCCCAGCATCCCATATGATCCCCTGAGCACCGCCAGGGGTAATTCCTGAGTGCAGAGCCAGGAGTAACCCCTGTGCATTGCCAGGTGTGACCCCCCCCCAAAAAAAAGATGAAGAGAGTCAGCTAAAAAGTGTGAGACAGAAGATAAGGAGATAAGGCTGGACTTGGAACTTTTTTCCAATCAAAAAATTTTTTTGAGATATCCTGAGTTTCAATAGCATTATAATATCAATATTCATATTTTTAGGCTTACAACACTACAGCACCACACCTGCCAGGTGAGGATGAGGGTTGCCTAACCCTCATCTGAGTAGATGAGTAGATTTGATATCAGCTGACGTTTAAAAAAATATACAACAGTGAAATGAGTCAGAGGGAGAGCGACAAACCAACTTTGCAGGGCACAGAGAAACATAGTAGGGGAATGATGAAAGCCCCAAGATAATAGAAACAAAGGGCAGGAGAGTGGGTCATTTGCAGGAAGCTTGCCCCAGTGAGAAATGGAGGTTGGGACAGGGAAAGGACCACTACAGCAATGACGGGGGAAGTGGTCATTCTAGATGAGAACTGGGTGCTGAGAGAAACCCTTTCTGTACTAGCCTTGTAAATCACAGTCCCAAAAAGGAAAGAAAGGAAAGAGAAATAGTTCCTGCCATAGAGGCAGGCTGGGGTGCACGAGGAAATCAATCATTTTGAGCCTGAAAGTCAATCACTAACAACTTTGTAGATTTGTAATTCATAGTGATTCAATGACATAAAAACAAAATAAAATTAAACTAAACTAGAATCACTGAATGTAAGAATTCAGAGTTGCTAGGTTGAATTTTAAGATGGGGAGAGGAAGGAAACAGTGTATCAAACCCAACCCTCCTACCCACTAATCCTTAGTGTTGACAGAATTCTGACTCTGTCGCCTCTTTAAACTCGGGAAAGGCCTGCTAAAAGCTCACCCACTCAGACGCTCCCTTCTATGTGAATTTGATTCCCTGCCAAGGTTTCAGTAATAAATAGTTTGCAAGTTCACAGAACACAGAGCTGCAGCTGTTCAGGAAACTTCAAAACAAGATCATAAGGTAAGACAGAAATTATGTTGGTAGATTTTTAATCAGGTTTTGCAAAGTAAGTTGTTAGGAACCATGGAGAACTGTATTTTTATTTCTGCAATGATGAATTTCTAGGTCATCATTACTGACAATAGGAATAAAATTTTACGGACATAATTCCATTTTGCTTTCCTTTGATTTTAAACTTTTAAAATATTTATTGTAGCAGTCTTTATGATAAGTGTGCCTGTCATGAAACTTTAAGAAGCATGTTCATAACTCTACCTCATAGTCTAAATGCTTATCCAAGACAAACTTAACAACTGTTTACAAGTGGATTTCAATTTACAAAAAAAGAGAAAAACTGAGAGGTGTCACCTCTCAAAATTTTCTGCTAAAAAACAATTTGTGAAAAACCAAGGAATTTATATACTAATTAGGTAACATTCAAAAGTGCATTGGTTTTACCACTAATCTTTAGAGATTTTTTTAAGTCGTTTATTCTCTTTGTTACTTGCTGTCTATCTTGTGGCAATATTTCTTGAAAAAAATAGTTTTGCCTTTCTTCCAACATGTGAATAAATAGACCTTTCTGGTCTTAAGCTAAAAATAGAGGGGAGAGATGGAGAGATAGACAAAGAAAGAGAGAGAGAGAAAGAGAGAGAGAGAAAAAGAGAGAGAGAATGTGGAGCCAGAGAGATAGCACAGAGGTTAAGCCTGACATTGTGTCAATCCCAGTTCTAATCCCTGGTATGTCATATGGTCCCTCAGCACCTAAGGGTCAGGCCTAAGCATCATTATAGAGCCAGCAATAGTCCATGTGTGTAGGATGTGGCCCTCAAACCCAACTCTCCTACCCCTTAATTACACAAAATATAAAAGTACTGGGACTGCACACAAGTTGACTCCAGAAGGTCTTTGGAAATTTGAGAATGAAGCGTCAGGAATCTAGCAGGGCCAAATCTACCATTTAATCTCTCTTTAGCATGTTAATTCTTGTTTCCCTGTGGTCCTGTGCTTTCTCAACATCTTCGTCTATTGCATCTCACAGTTGTCTTTTGAATATTCGAAGCTCCTTTTAAAATTCATCCTAGAAAAGGTATAGTCGGTGGTCAGAAAATTTTATTGTCCTCTATTTCCTAAAGTTTGGTGTGCTGGAACTGAATCACACAAGTCATGTCATGTTCTGAAACAGCTAACTTTCAGCACAGGCATCGCTTTATAGCTCAACTTTCACATTTTCTGCATTCTACTCTGAAAGGAGCTGAAATTTCCTACCAATATTAGCTAGCAAAATAATTTATGTTGGTTTTTTTCCCCTTCGTCATTGTTTAACATATAATATCTGTAGTAAAAATGTACACACCACCCCTTCCTACTTATAGAGATGGAAGAATTCTGAGAGCTTTTACTTAGTGGTTACAACACGGTAGGGAATAAAGGAAATGATTAAGAGGTAGTAGCTGTTCTCCTGAGCAAGGTTGTAGAGGATTAAAGAAAGGGTTTATGACTAACTTTAAGGGATACACATGACCATCAGTTGTAAAATGTTCTTCCCTGGGGAATAATTACATCATTATAGAGTAGGGGTTGGGGAGTGGGGAGTTGTTTAGAGGGCTTAGGCAGCCATGAGGATTGGGGAAGGAAGTGTTAAGAAAGAATACATAAGAATGTTTTTGTCTGGAAATGGATGAAGTAATTTTTGGAGATTTTCATGCAGAATTAAATCATTACACAGAAGTGCTTCAGAGGAGGCAGCACTAACACAATAAAAGTATCAGCAAAATTTTATGCCAATAAATCTGATAACATAAGGTCTATATTTCAGATGCTAGGGTGATCGCGCCAAAAATCAATGTACCTTTCACTCAACATATTGAAAATCTTGCAAAAATTTTCCTAATAGGAATTGAGAGTATTAGCCAGAATTATTATTCTTTTATCTAAATTTTCATCCAGGACATTTAGAAACATTAAGACCGAAAACAATCTCCTTGAATAGCAGAAAGAACCCCAATTTACCTCAAAAACTGATGCTTGGTATAGGACTTCAGAAATTGTGATAGAACTTCTAATCTCTTTTGCCTCCTGGGTTCACTGGTGCTGATACTGCATGAAAAGAAACAAGAGTTTCAATGTTAAGGCAGGAAGGGTTCATTATCTGGGGTGTGATAATGGAGAAGGAGTTCCTTCCTCTCACAGACTTCTGTCACATGGTGTCCTTGTTATTGTCATGTTATATCTGTGAAGGGTATTTGTTTGTTTTAACTAAAGAATGTGATATAATAATAATAAAAAATAGTCCATAGTTCTCATATGCACCATTTGCCATTGACTAGTTACATGATTTGGGATCTTTTTTAACTTTTCTGAGCGTGAACTATTTAAGGTGTAAAATGAGAAGAAGGAGGAGGAGGAGGAACACAAAAATAAAATTATGCATGAGGAGGAGGAGGGAAGTAGAGAAGAAGGAAAATCTAACCTAAAGGGGTGTGATGATTTATGAAGGCAAAACAAATTAGCAGTCGTTAAAGGCACTAATCACTGAATATTTACTAAATATAAAAAAGAGTCCTGCATTATCATTTAATCCTCACAGAACCTCTATTTGTCCATACCATTTCCTTCAGTACTCAGAAGCTACACCCAGTGGTATTCGGGGGCTGCTCCTGATAGTACTCAGGAAACCATACAGTGTCAGGGATTGAGCCTGGGCCGCCCACATGCAAAGCATGGACACTAGCCCTTTAAGCTATCTCCTCAATGCTGTGAGAAAATTTTATAAACGAGGATGTGGGATTTGAAAAAATTGTACTAACCCCAGATGATACAATAAGTCCATTTCAAAACAGATTGAAGTCCAGAAGGAAAAAGAATCAAGAAGAAAGGATTCCAAGTGACCTTATTTAGTGCGTCTCTAATATTCTTTGTGAAGGGACTTTCTGTTCAAGCTTCTATCCTTTTTTTTTTTTTTTCCGGAGTGGAGGGTTGGTGCTTCCAACAGGGCTAATCCAATAGTCCCAGCAACACACAGCCAATCTGGCCAGAAGTTCAGTCTAGGGCCCGGGCTCTGCATTGCTGGTGACACCAGGGATACTGTAGCAGTGCTTATAGGACTTCAGGGTTTTCAGGAGGCCACGTGCTGCTGGAGATCCAGCCTGACAAAATTCACATTATTTTTAACCCTAAAATAGTGAGAGGGCAATAAAACTCCCAGAAATTTATTTTAGGGCTGCATTCATTGCCATCAAGAAAAAGGGATCTGCCGATGAATGCCATTTTATTATACATTTTTCTCCTGAATTTTCATTAATATTGCCAGAACCAAAAGGGGTCCACCCACAAACTTGGCTGGGTCTTCTACTTTCAGTCAGGACACCAGTATGCATCTATTTCTTCACTTTGCAAAGCTCATAAATGATCATTACAGTTTTCCCTAGTAATACTAGTGCATCTGAGATCTTTCACAGCTACAAGAATGTTTTACTCATCACTTTCCTTTTTGATCCTACTGAAGATTGAATCATTTTTTTAATGCTTTAATAGAACTTCATGGCTTCATGTCTGCTGAGTTCAAATCTCAATCACTCTAACATTCTCAGCCTGCTGACTCTATCAAGTGCAGTTGTTCACGAAATATTGTTAAAAAAGCTTCTATATTATTTTCTTTAAAAAATATTGTTGGGGCTACTAGGCAGACCTCCCCGCTGGTGGAGCCTGGGGTCACCAAAGCCATACCTACAGCAAGGGGGTCAAACAGTGCCTGGGATCAAACCTAGGATCTCACATTTGCAAGACAAGTACTCTTTAGTCGCATCCTCGGTTCTATTTTCTTTTCATTTTATTTACTTATTTAAACTTAATTTTTAATTAATGTACCATGATTTACAAAGCTATTCACAATTGTTTTAGAATTCAATATTCCAATATCAATACCATCACCAGAGTCAACTTCTCTTTACCAGTGTCCAACAGGTTCCCTCAGGTACATTTTTAAGTTTGGTTGTGATGGTTTGGATCTCATCCTTTCAGTGATGTTGGCTCTGTGGCTTAGACATATACCTATATTACATCTCAATACTAAGGATGTGACAGAGGTCCCTCACCCTTGCCCATTACCTTCTGTCCTTGTCTTCTTACTCCCCAATTTCTTTCCTTCTCTGAACTCATTTCCATATTCAAGGGTCAAGGGTAATTTCTACATCCCCACTTGATAACTTAAATTCCCTTACCCTGTTATTCCATATGACACAGATAAGTGAAACCATCCAGTGCTTTATGTTCACTTAACATAAGAATCTTCCAGTTCTATCCAAGTTGCAGCAAACTGAATAATTTTAATCATTCCTTGCAGATGCATAGTATTCTATTGTATGCATACGTATTTCACAACTTCATTTTCCATTTATCTGCCATTGGACACCTATGCTGATTACATAGCCTTGCTACTTTAAGCACTGAGTGTCCAAAGACAAAACCACAGATCTATGGTAAACTAGTTTTTGATAAAGGAGCTAAGTACATAAAGTGGAGTTAAGATCGTTCCTTAAACAAATGGTTCAGGGATAACTGGATAACCTATTGTAAAAAAAATATTGATGCTATATCCATATCTGATACTTCACACAAAAGTCAATTCAAAGTAGATTAAAGACCTGAAGGTCAGACCAGAATCCATAAAGTACAATGAAGAAAATATAGGCAGAATGCTTTATTGGTAATATTGGGGTTTTTCTTAGACCATGTATAATTTAATTCATATTAAAAGGTTTTAATTTTTTTAATTGAATCACAGTGAGATACACAGTTTGTTGGTAATATTTGGATCATGTGTCCACTTCTTCACCCTTACTGGTGGATAGGAATAGGTTTGACTTTAATTTTTATATTTATGATTCTGCAGTTCTAATTTTCCTATTACTTTGGGGAAATAAAAGAGATGTTATGAAACAAAATTCATACTAGTTAACACCCAATATTATCTAATTCCTGTGGAATTTCAACCATTTTCAATTTTTCAGGGCATATTT